AATAGTTTCTTTCATAGCATTCGTTAACCATCTGGTTCCCTCTTTTAGTTCATACCCCAGGTAGGTGACTGTTTGTCTACAAATTTGAGCCTTCTTTGCACTGGCCCGATAGTCCAACTTCCCCAGCAACTGGAGGAGGTCTCCAGTGGCTTGCCAGCACTCAGCTTCAGATGCAGCTGCCTGAAGCAAGTCATCTACATACTGCAAAAGTGTGACGGAACTGTGGCTCTGGCGATATGAGTCCAGATCCTGATTAAGAGCCTCATTGAACAGAGTAGGGGAGTTTTTGAAACCTTGTGGAAGTCTAGTCCATGTTAACTGTCTGGGGGTTCCCGTATTTTCATCATGCCATTCGAAGGCAAAAATGTGTTGACTATTGGGTGCCAGGGCTATGCTAAAAAGAGCATCTTTTAAGTTCAAAGTGGTATACCAAACATGGGAGGGGGGCAAATGGCTAGCAAGGTATAGGGGTTGGGGACTGTGGGGTGGATGTCCTCAACCCTCTTGTTTACTTCCCTTAAATCTTGGACTGGCCTATAGTCTTTTCCCTCGGGTTTCTTAACGGGGAGAAGTGGAGTGTTCCAAGCATAATGGCAGGGCCGTAATATTCCGGCCTCCAGGATATGGTTTATGTGAGGGGCAATCCCCCTCCATGCCTCGGAAGACATGGGATACTGATGGACTCGGATGGGCTGAGCCAAAGCCTTGATCTCTACTTTTACTGGGGCTCGATGTTCTGCCAGCCCCACACTTGCTATTTCTGCCCAAGCCTCGGGGTAGGTTTGAATCCAATAAGCCATTTCAGGGGACCACTCAATAGGTTTCGGGGGAGGGTCCCGCAAGGAGAACAAGCAATGTTCATCCTCAAGAGACATGGTCAAGACTTGGAGGGGCTGTCCTTGTCCATCTGTCACTTTGATACCGTCCGGCTCAAAGTGAATGTGAGCCCTTACCTTAGTTAGCAGATCACGTCCCAGAAGATTGGCAGGGCACTCAGGAATGACCAGAAAGGAATGGGTCACCTGATGTCGGCCCAAATCCACCTGACGTTTGCTAGTCCATTGATATGCCTTGGATCCAGTGGCTCCCTGCACAAGGCTAATTCTCTTGGACAGTGGCTCAGTAGGCTTATTAAGGACTGAATATTGGGCCCCTGTGTCCACCATGCATCTCACGGGCTTCCCCTCCACATATATGGTTACCCAAGACTCGGGGAGCGGGTCTGAGTCCCGTGCCCTCTAGTCACTGTCCATTCCAGCTAACAGGATTCGGCATTATTAGGGCTGCTAGCAATATCTTAGCCATCTCTTTTTGCTGTTTCTTATTTTCCTTACTCTGGTGTTCCCTGTCCTCCTTCTGAATCCTTTCTTGTAGTTCCTGATTCTCCTTCCTGATTCTATCCTCTCATTCTTCCGGGGTTTCTCGGGTGTTAAAAGCCCTTTCAGCTACTTTCATCAGATCCCGGGTAGTCATCTCCCCAAGCCCTTCTTGCTTATATAGTTTCTTCCTAATATCAGGGGCAGCCTGGTTTATGAAGGACATTATCACAGCTGACTGATTCACCTCCGCTAGTGGGTCTAGGGGGGTATACTGTCTGTATGCATCATAAAGATGCTCAAGGAATGTGGCCGGGCTTTCATTTCCCCCCTGCATTATTGCCTTTACCTTAGCCAAATTGGTAGGGCGGCGGGCTGCCGCCTGGAGGACTGCCATAAGAGTCTGGCAATAGACCCAGAGACGCTCCCTACCTTCTGTGGTCCCATAGTCCCAGTCAGGTCTGTTTAAAGGAAAACGATCATCAATCAGGTTTGGCAGGGTGGTTGGTCGCCCATTGTCGCCGGGGACATTCTTTCTGGCTTCAGTGAGAATTTGCTCCCATTCCTCGGTGGTGAATAGGGTCCTAAGGAGCTACTGACAGTCATCCCATGTGGGACTGTGAGTATGCAAAATGGACTCGAATAGATCAGTCAGGTCCTCAGAAAAAGGAGGATTCTGGGCTTTCCAGTTGTACAGGTCACTACTTGAAAAAGGCCAATACTGATAGGTGTGTCCCCCATCAGGACCAGCAACACCCAGGGCCCACACCAGGAGGATGGGGGGCCCAGTGGAAGTGGAGGAGGGCTCCTCCTCTGGGGTTTCTTCTCGCTGCCTACGGGGCCTGAGTCCCCTCGCTGGTCCAGAGTTCAGGGCAGGGGGTGCAGACGGGGAGGCTGATGAGTGGGGAGGCTCAGAGGAGCCAGCTGCCTCTGGTAGGAGTGGCGCAGCAGCGGCATATGGTGGGGGATTTACTTCACAATCTAAGTCTATCAAGGATGGATGGAGAGTTGGGTCTTCCTGCAGAATAGGCTTCTTAGGGGAATTAACGGGAGTGGGGGTGTTCCCCGACACGGCCAGTATTGCACACCAGTCTGTAGGTGCTCCATGGATAAATGGCCGCAGCCAGGAAGGGGGGTCTTCTACTAAAGTCTGCCACATAAGGATGTAGGGATATTGATCAGGGTGGCCATGAAGACCGGGTCTATTAATGACATCTTGGACCTTCTTAATCGTGTCCAAGGAGAAGGTACCTTGAGGAGGCCAGCCTACATTAAAGTTGGCCATTCCGCTGAGCAAAGGGTGTCAAACTTACCTTTCTTAATTTTCACACCATAATTGTGTCCCTTTGTGCAGTTTTCTGAAAAATGACTCAGAAGAAGGGTCTTAGGAGTTACCTGAGCCTGTCCCATGATGATCAGGAGAGATGGACAAAGGAGACATCAAAGAATAAAAGAGACAATTCCAGGAGACAAACAAATTCGCACAGGACTCTCTAACATACACAAGTACCGGCCAGTCAACCAGACTACTCTCATAGGTGCACTTCCATTCACACCAGATTCAGGATCCTTACCCAAAGACCGTCCAAATGGCATCCACTGAGGATGCCGGCACGGCTCCTGACTGTCGGGGATGTCTCCCACGACTTCCAATAGTGAAGCCTCCAGGGCTGTAACCTCTTCCTTCCACTCAACAAGAATTCTCAACCAAATTCAGACGGGGACTCTAAGTCCCTCCAAACGGAGGTGGCCAATCCTCCTTCTGCGGTCTTTCCCAATTAAACCTTGGTATCGGAGGCCGTTTGTTCCTCTCAGGGAGGGGCTGAGATCTCGGTGGGACCTCCAGATGTTGGGGTCCAAGTTTGACCACCCCTCAGAGGAACAAAAGACACTCACGATAATGTAATCCACAAAGCAAGGTTTATTTTCAGCCAGCTGAGGTCCGGGTATCCGCCCGACGCAGTGGGTTTCAACACAGACCCCAAATACAAAATTCAGGCTGCTTTTATGTTTTTTTAGACATTAGTCACAGTCACACAGCAATTTTTATGGTCCCTGGTGTCACATATTTCTGATATCACCCACATCCTGGTGGTGGGGCAAGATTACTTGAAGATTATTTATCAGGAATTTGGTAAACAACAGGTGTCTCAACTCATTGACTCACATACTGTTTTAGCAAGATTAACCAGAAACAGTCCCTGTTCCCAGAAACCATCCCACCTCCCTTAGTTCCAGTAAGTGGTGGCTTGGGTCATGTTTCAGGCTGAGTGGGCTCCAAGCCTCAAAGGTACCCTAACATTTGTACCCTAACAGTATACAACAGAAAAGATAGACTGGGTCACTCCTTAGGGTCTGGGGCAAGGAAGAGGTCTTGGAATGATTTCAAAAAATATGAAGTGTAGCTGTCACCAACTCAAAATATCCAAGAAGTTTATAAGACAAGATTAGAACTGAGAACTAGAGCATATGCTTCATATCAAAGGAAGTGCTGCTGGTCAGTCCTTAGTGAATACTTTCCTTCTGGCACACCAAGTTTCTAGATGCTCTAGTTAGTGAAAAAGGTGAATATTCTTGTCTTTACACTTTTGTTTTCTTTCAATTTATGAAATATATGCCCTTACAAATGTTAGGCTGAGTGAGGGGAAAAATGCATCTTTAATTGAGACTTGTTCTGTAGTATATGACTTCTGATAAACTGATAGTTCATGTCAGCTTTGTTCCCTTCAGCATGTCTTGTACCTGGTACCTTTTGGCTCTGCATGGAACAAACAAGCAATAAATATTTTGTTGAATAAACCAACAGGTTAATGAATGAACTCTGTTTTAACAGTGAATGTGAGATTTTGAAAAGATAGAGCCAAGGGAAACCTGGTCTTGATGGTGACATATTCAAAAGGGTGGATGATTATAAGAAGCATATGTTTGGAGACCTACATGACAGGCACGACTGCAGGAGCTTAGTGTTTGCAATAGTGGGCAGAAGGGGATGAAGCTGTAGCAGACAGAGAGAGGAGACAATACAGGAGAGTAGATATCATATGATAGGTGTTTGAATTTTCATCTTATGGGAACACATCATAGGAACCATCAGAGGCTTAAGCAGAATCGTATGGCTAGATTTGCAATTAGACAGACTATTCTAGTGGAGGTATGTGCACTGGAAGAGAAAGAGAAGAGAGATTAATTATTGCTAATCTTGCCTTTTCACCATAATTTCCACCAAGAACTTTTTGGGTCCCTTAAATACACATGATCAGAATTCTCTAGACTTTTAAAAAGTTTGAAGAATAAACACCATTGCCCTGTTGTCAGGTAAGAGGATATGGCATAGTATCACTTTTCCTATTCACTTACTATAAAGCAGTTGAGGCTTTTCATTTTTGTATTAGAATGAAGTATGAAGGACGAATCAATGACCCAGATTCTTAATTTTGACTGAGGTTCATTTATTTATAGTAAGAATCAAATACATAGTTCCCACACCTGAGCAACAGTGCACACAAAATTTGTATGTAAAGGAAAGATGAAAACAAGATAAAATGTGAAAGGAGCAGCTTGCATTATTAGATTAGGCACAGTGAAAACAAAGAGAAAGCAGTCATTACTAAGAAACAAGCAAAAGTCCAGAGTTTGAATTTTTGTTCTGGATCTTCAGCATAATTATTCACTGGAATGAGGAAGCTATTGGCTTCCTTGTGCAGAGCAAGATGGACGACGGGTGATACACACAGGGGTCACGGGTTGGCAACTGCTGGAGAGAGGCTGCAGAGGTCTGAGGCTGCTAGACACAACATGAACGGTTTGAGGACCATAGGGCACACAACCCAAGGGGCGGCATCCATTAGTGAGAAGGCTCAAGGGTCTGCAGTTGTTGGGAAAACAGGTGAGGGGGCGATAGCCACAGGACACGAAGCTTATGGGATGGCTACTATTGATGATGGGACTCTGTGGACGGCAGCTGCTGGACACATAGCTCAGTGGTCTGTAGGATGTTGGGAGGCAGGAGCTGGAGATGAAGGAAGAAGCAGGAATAAAGCTCGTTCCTTGGCAGAATCTGGGAACATAGTAAGCAGTGGAAGAGTAGCAAGATGTTTCCATGTTGTTGGGCTCCCGGTTAGCTGGTTGACAGCTAGTTGGTTCTCCGCAAGTCTCTTGGCAGTTGTCTGTGACCCAGGTACCATTTGACAGCTACTGGGCAAGCAGAGGACATTGCCATAGCTCATATTTGTAGAGCAGAGGGCAATGGAAGGGGTGAGAGGAAGATGGCAAGAATTGCTGAAAGATCCTGAGCTGTAGTTTCCAGAGCAGTAGTTGTGGCAAGACATGGTGAGGTTCAGAGAGTAGTTGAGGGAGAGAAGTGAGTACGTCGGGTTTGATTCTGACCCTAGTTTGGTCTGTTCCTTTATATATCCCCAAGAGTGGTGATTCTGTGTACAGACTCTTCCTTGTTGTTGTATGAGGCTGCATCAGAACTCTTGGTTATAGCCCAGGAAGTGGGGCTCCCATCTCCCATAAAACTGGATTTTCCTTGCAATGCCTTGCAGATTAAATTTATTTATAAACTAGTGTGACTGAGTTTTAATAGGGTCTCTCCTTTAATAATCCAACCAAAACAGACACTTTTGAAGTCCGTGAACTTATTCCAATTATAACCAACATTGAACAAACATTTCTTAAATTCCTCACTTGAAATTTTCTTTACAAGTTATAGCAAAGTTCTTTGAAATAGCTGCAAATTATTGCTTTTTGAAGAGAAATTCTATTCTTTTTAGAACTTGCCAAAAGTAACTTAGAAGTGAGTATGTTACAAAAGAATATGAACATTTCTATAACCTATATTGCAGAAAGAATTTAATTCAGTGTAGTGTGGAAATTTTCAATGTTTCTTTTTTACCTTATTTCAGCATCTTTATAGAAACTGACTTACCTCTTAAATCAGAAAATTTGCACTTGTTTTATCAACTTCAATGAATAAATTGAGTAATGTTGAAAGCTTGTTTTTTTTCTAAGATATTTTAAAATATCTTAGTTGAGCTTAGGTAAATTATGGATTCCAGTGTGAGCAAAAGAAAATCAAGTTGGACAAAATGACATTTCTGACATTTATTACAAGCTTATGTATTTCATATTACAACTTTATTTAAAAAAAAGTTTTTGGTAAAATAAAAGTAGATGCATTGATTAAGATACAGGTGTCTTTTATTCCTACATGGAAAATACCATTTTTCTGAAAGGAGTTTCTAAACTGATTTATATATATAGTAGCATGAGAATGAATGTAGAGTTTTCCTAAGTTTGACTAGTATGAAGACTATTTAGGAATGTATACTTCTGTAAAAATTGTTAAAAATAATAATTGTGGTTAGATTTAACCAGCCCACTGTATTTTTTAATGCCTTGCCATAGCCAGCCACTCCAGTGGCTATTTTAATGGCAGTTTAAATTATCTTTTAAATCTAAATTCCATTTCTTGTGGCTACAAATTCAATTTAAATCACAACACTTCTATGTTCAATGGTCACACTTACCAAATCTCCCTCTATCCAGTATAGTAGAAAATATGAAATGAAAGCCTTGATTTCTCTATGACGCAATAAGAGTTTATTTTACTACCGGGGCATAAATAAGAAAATAAAATGATATAGTTTCTAATGTTCTATGTGAACATGTTGAATTTATCTCAAAATTTTAGGTCAGAGGCCATTATTCTTTCATGGCTTACCTGATGTGATTAAGAAGTTCCACCTCAGGAATTCATTACCTGACATTCTTTGTACACAGCTGCTAGAGTCTTCTTGTGCAATCTTGGATGCACCAACTAAATAGCGTTAGTAATAGGGACAGCCATATTTAGCTGAATGCTTATCAAATTTATGTGTTGATGCTATTTACGTCTGCTCTTCCTAATGTAACCAAGTGTCCAACACCTGTGTCATTAGTCCACCAATATAGTGTGTGTGTGTGTATATATGTACTGTATATGTTATATGTACATGGAATGTTTTTCCCTGAAGGGCAAAGGTGTGGAATACGGGAAAACTATTCATTCAGTGCCTACTCCATGTTATTCATTAGGGTATGGTACCCACATCCTGTGTGGGTACCCTCACTGGTGATTTTACTTTATCCTTATAACACTAGAAAGAAAATTTTGTTATTTCAAGTATTCATATGAGAAAACCTGAGATTAGAAAGTTATCATAACAATATGAAGAAAAATGTTTGACTAAAAACTTTTTGTATTGTCAAACATTTTTCTTCTCACTATCCCACAGAATATCATATAGAGACCTACTGATATCATCATTTAATAATTACAAGGACCAGGAAATCCACAATATATATTAATATATATATATGTTATATGTTGAAGTGGTTCCTTCATAGTGGCTGTGTCAATAAAAGGGTAGGAATTATTTGGATACAACACCAAGTTCTTCATTAGCAGACTCCTACAAACTACGTTTCCAGCTCCTTTCTGACCCAAAAGCCATGAGATAGTCTGAGGAGCCAAGTATCCTATGTATTTCTCCAGATTTACCAATTTTATTATTTTATATTTAATGAATCATGGATGTTACCTCTCCTTCTCTAGAGGGAACATTCTGAATTTATCTTAGATTTAAGGAATCCTCAGAGCATTCAACAATAAAAGTGTGTCAATAAGCAACTTTTCATTCATTACTTTAGTAAATGTTTATTGAGCATCCAGTTTGTGCAATACATAATGATAGGAGCTGACAAAAACACCATTATGAAATTGTTTTCTGTTCCCAGACATATTCTATCTCATAGGTGGGATAAGACAGAAATACAATCCTTGTCAGTGTTTACTAACTTCTTTAAGTGACATACAGAGCAAGACTAACATACCTAATACCAAATGTTGTCATTTGATACTAACTTTGAAGAATGGAAGGAAATGGCAGAGAATTTGAGGAAGAGGGAGACATTTCAGACTATGGAAAAAGGTATAAAAGCAGAAAAATAACACCAGTGCTTTCACTACAGGGTTCTTAAAAGCAAGGTATAGTGAATGAACTTAGATTGGCATGCTGAATCTCATTCAGTCATCAGAGAAATAGTTTAGATCATGCACAAATGACAAAGTGATCCAGCATCTGATTTCAAAAGAGAGTACTGAGATTAAATTGCAGCGTAGATTGGAAATGTGGGAAAACCTGTTATAATGTTTTACTTCCTTGACCCTCTAAAGGTATGCTTTTTCATCAGTTTTCTCTTTCTTTTATCACTGTTATTATTCAAATTGGGTTTTGTTCTCCTGTGATGAATTTTTTACTGCCATCTTAGATGCTCTTATTTTGCCTAAGTACACTATTTAGAATAACACTCCTAAAATTTATTTTATCATGAGACTCTCTTATTTAAAATATTGACAACTTCCCTCTCTCCACAAGAAATTGTCCAGAGACTTAACCAGTCCTCCCCTGCTTTCATTTTACCATTTTGGTTTGCCTATTCATTTCTCCAATTATAGCTCTTCTATCCACTTGCTTTTTTATAATTTCCTCACTGTTCCTAACTTTCATCTCCTTAGGAATAACTTTAAAATTTTATCTACCATTCAGATGCCAAGTAGATGAGCTACTTTGTGAGTACTCTCCAGACCATTTCTGCCAACCTAAATCTCTCCAACCTTTAAATTTTAAGTGTGTATAACTATCATCACTTAATTTTCTCTCAAAGCTTGAGTTCTTTCTCTCAGTCTCTCTCTCTCTCTCTCTCTCTCTCTCACACACACACACACACACACAACCTTACATCTTTGTTTTACAAGGAAAAAAAAAAACCATACCTTTGTCTTACTGTCTTATTGGCAAAATATTTGAGTCTTATTTCCCAACTGTATTATAGAACTCTTATTATCTATTATTTACTGAACTTTTATTGACCTTATTATATATAAGATACTATTTTATATATTTAAATATAAGGATGTTGTGAGGATTAAATCAACGCAACATCTTTATTTCAGTTGGAGTGATCATTATGCGGAAAATCAACCCATCTTTACTACGTATTTTCTGACTAACATCATAGCAATCATAAAATATAACTTTGGTTTTCTTTATCAACTAAAAATAAGCTTTAATTATGCAGCAATCTCTTTTAGACATTTTTCTCACTATTTTCACCTAGGAAAAACAAATATGAGTTTAGGAGAAACTGCAGGAAACTTCTTGTGCTTTCTCAAGTTTTACTCTTGCCTACTTACTATTTCTGACTAATCATCAATTGTAGCTTAGAGAAGCAGCTCATTATAGACTACAACATAATGAAGTGACGTAAGTAAGTGTAGTGCATCCTATTGAAGACTATGTGTAAAATCACTAAATTATAATTCATTCAAAGAATTCTGATTGGCAGTGTAGACTTCTAGGCAAATGATCAGGCTGGTAGGCAGTAGTCAATCAATGATTAAATTTTTACTGTATTATAGCATCATTCAGAATAGAAACAATGGTTTATACATGATTTGAACAAATTTACCTCCCTTAATTCCCTCTAACTCCACATACAAAAACATTTTTCCAGACAATATTAGACAGACTATTTTATATTAACAAATGCATCCTTTCATAACTGGGTTAAAGACTTGAAATTGAAGGTACCTTTTCCCTACCTATAGTTGAGCCCTTGCATTGTGCTCCTTCTATCTTCACAAGGTCTTTATAAATTTCATTCCTTTGACTATATATTCATATTTTAAATGTGAAAGTCTTTTATTAAATTTTCCCCAAGTTCTTGAGACAAACCTGACAAAAATTTTGTGCAAAAGGTATGCAATGCAGTGTTTTGATATAAATATATATTGTGAGATGATGATGGCAATCAAGCTAATTAACATTTCTATCACCTCACATAGCTACCATTTGTCTGTTTCTTTGCTTTTTTTTATTCATTTATTCACATGTGCATACAATGTTTGGGTCATTTCTCCTCCATGCCCACTGCCCCCACTCTCTCCTCCACATCCCCCTCGCTTCCAGGCAGAAACTGTTCTGCCCTTATCTCTAATTTTATTGAAGAAAAGACATAAACATAATAAGAAAGACATAGTGTTTTTGCTAGTTGAGTTAAGGATAGCTATACAGAAAGATTCCTAGCATTGCTTTCATGTCAAATGTGTTACAACCCAAACTGATTCATCTTTAACTAATCTTTACACTGGTTCCTGATCCCCTTCTCGTGTTGACCTCTGTCACTTGAAGGTTTCTGTATTAGTTTCTCTGGAGTGGAGACATCAAATGCTTCTTTGTTTTGGGTTTTCTACCTATCCCCATACCTCCCGTATGTGCTCTCC